GGAATTCCTTTCGAACCCTTGTGAAATATATGCCAGGATCAACTGGATGGAATGGAAAGAGATTCAGTTTGAACAAGCCACTTACCCATTTATACTTATTATAATTTATCATCCTTACAAAAAGACATGGTCCTTGAACAACCTGGCCTTGTCGCTGGGGCTCTGCCTTGATTGGCATAGGCAACTCTGGGGCACCTCAAGCAGGGCACCGAAGAAAAGACTAGCAACACATGTGTCAGGGCTCTCACACCCCAGGATGGACCTGCAAGTCATGCCAATCTGTAAAAAATGGGGTAGCAAGTGAAGCCTAACTTACTCAGCGGGTCTTTTTTTTAGTGCACGGTGATGTTAGAATCTTCAACCAAGGGACTTTCAGCGTTGCAGTGCTTGCGCTTGACTGGCGTAACTGGTGGATCGTCTTGTGGAGGCGGAAGAGGGGGCGGAGATTGGAGCAACCAATTTCCCCTCACAAGGTGGTCACTCAGCTCCGCCCAAGGCCGATCAGCAGCCTTCATCCGTGGACGTTTTTCCGGCGTGTCCATGCCTCACATGTTGCTGCGGGCCCCAACCAGGCACACAGAGCAAGGAAAAGGAAATCTTTTGAGCATGAATTTACTGAACATTCAACCAGGGGAAGGAAGAAAACCATCAAAGAAAATCCTTCAAAATGGATTGGATCAAAATGGATCAAAAATGATCAAAATGGATCAAAATGGGATATCCAAACCATGTTCCTTTCCATTGTCTCTACCACCCTAAGACGGCCCTTGGTTGTTGAAGCCCTGATGCTTTCAAACCCCACAAACACATACAAACACCACTTGCCCCCTTGCATCCCCCCAAAAAAACTTCAGACAAAATTGTCTCAAGAGATGCAGTTAACGATTACCCGCTTGCAGCACCCAAGGCCGAGGACCTGCATCTGCGCCACTTGGAGCTGGCTCATATTCGCAGACAGCACCTGCCGATACAGGGAGGCAACCCTTCACCCTTACAGGATGGCTTGTTCCAACACCGGACTTGTTTTCCAGATAAGGAAATAACACGAAATTGCAGGACCAATCCAAACTGTAGCCAATAGGTATGTTAATTTCCTAACAGGGTAAAACATCCTTCACGCCCAAAGGTTTTCTGCCGCGTCTGCAACAATGCCACTGACAGCATTGGCAATCTCACCAGGGCCTACATCTATTCACTGCATTGGTAGCAGTGATTTGTCAACGCTTTTCAACCATGTTTTTCCAGTGTGTCAGAGCCGTTTAAACCAAAAAAAAACCTCACCAACAAGCTGAGCACGTTCCACCCAATTTGGCACCATCATTGTCCTTCCATGGGCCAGCACCCAATGCCCACAAAAAAATGACAATGGCGGCAACTGAGACCCGAAAGAAAAAGACTCTTGTACACATATCCGCACATACATATCACTTAAACATACTTAAACAACAGCCCTGTGAATGTCCTAGCTCAGGGTTCTACAAGCTGAGTCACCCATACTGGCGACCGGATAGCCTAAAGCAAAATCAGCATAGGCTATGATTCAATGCGCTTGCCGCATCAGGCAAGCTCAGACTTCTTCTCGGCTGGGGCAGCTTCTGTCTGGCTTGAGCTGGACGCTTGCTCAAGAGCTTGAAAAGAATCTTCCTGAATGTGACCCAAACGCCTCAACTTGGGAGCAGGTTGCTCATGGGAACTTTGTTCTGTCTGGTTCTTGTCGGCTGCCGAGGCTGGGGATGTGTTCTGTGAAGGCTGCTCTCGGACAGTTGGGTGAACTTGGCTGACCTGCTGGTCCTGGATAGCAAGCAAAGGAGGAGGGGTGCCGATGTCATGCTCTCCATGCACTGGCTGGTTGCCAGCGTGGATATGGATGTGGGTGTGATGGTGCGTATGGTAGTGGGTGTACTGGTTGTTGTGGTTGTGGGTGTGGTAAGTATATTTGTGGCGGTGGAGGTGTGTGGACGCCGCGATGGAGGTTTTGTGAGAGCTACTGTCTCCACTGCTATGATCGGAACTCTCCCCTGAAGCATATGAATCCGATGAGGTGATTGAGCACTCAGATTTCTTCGAAGATGCATCATCTGACATGGCGAAAGAACAGGAAATGAAAATGGCCCAATTCTGGCCCAATGCTCTTCACGGCTTGGGTTCGCTTTTTCGAGCCAGAGTCTTAGCACCGTTCAAGTTCGAACCCTCCTGCCCACTACTATCCAAACTGCAGGTTTTTACGAAGAATACCCCAAGCCCACCACCCATGTCGGAGGGCACCTGTCTCTTGCAGGGGCTTTGGCACACCTTCGATTCCAGAAGATCGCGAACCTGAGTCTCTACAAAATGACTTGATTGAATCTAGGCTCGACGCTAGCCCCTAGCAAACTGAACAACATGACTCAAAAACGCTTGCTTTCTAGATCCCTTGCATAGTGCTTTTTGATTCTTTACACATAATAAACTTGAATAAATAGAAAATGAATGCCTGCTACAAAATGGCTTGGCTGCCTAGAATGCCCTGGCTCTATGTTCAAGCTGGTCCAAAAAAAACAATATCAACTCACAACATGTATCCACATGTATCTAAACTGCCACCCTGGACACAGCAAACCCACAAGACTGCCACGCAGGATCCTTCAACAAAGACAAGCCATTCTATAATGGTTCCCTCTCCCCAAGCCATTTTGTAAAAGAAGCATCATTATATATACATTATATATATATATATGCATTACAATTATTCATTTAGATTCAAAAGCTTAAAGAAGGAATGCATTTGGAGGACAGAGCAAAGCCCCGAAAATTGTATATATATATATATTGGTATACCAATGGTATACCTACGTATATCTATCTTCACCGTTCTTCACCTATCTTCAAGTATCTTGACTCCTCTGCAAAACACATCAAAACACTGCATCCACACGATTCTTCGGATGGCTAATGGTTGTGGATGAGGACCCCTCCCAGAGATTCTTGCCAGGAATCTTTCTGCTTCAGCGCGGTCTGCTCCAGTGCAACTCCCCGGCACTGGAGCGGGAACACCTTGGCAAAGTACCAGAGCTTGGGGGAGCTTTGCACAAACTGGACCAAAAGATCCAAAAGCATCCACAAGTAGTCAGAGGCATGCCCAATATTTGCGTTCACTAAGTGACATGTCAATATGATCAAACGAACCAGCGCTACCCATCACCTGCAGGCTACAAAATGGCTTGGTTGATCTTGATTGCCTAGAATGCCTTGGCTCTATGTTCAGGCCGTTTAAAACTCAACTCACCACATCTATCCAAATGTATCTAAGCTGCCACTCCGGGCACAGCAAACCCACAAGACTGCCACGCAGGATCCTTCAACAAAGACAAGCCATTCTATAATGGTTCCCTCTCCCCAAGCCATTTTGTAAAAGAAGCATCATTATATATACATTATATATATATATATGCATTACAATTATTCATATAGATTCAAAAGCTTAAAGAAGGAATGCATTTGGAGGACAGGGCCAATCCCCTTTCATAACCAAGGCTCAATCCCTAGCCGATTCATTTTCCTCGTTGGCGTCCTCGCCGTTCTCATCATTCTCGCCATTCACACCTGCAGTGTTTTGCGGGCATGGAAAAAATACACCGACAGGTGCTGACATCTTTGAACATCCAAACAGACCCAAGTAGAGCATATTATTGTAAGTATTGGTAGACATTGCTATACATATGCATATACATATGTAAATATGCATATTCATTGTGTATCATGGTGTCATTGTATATCTATGTATATCTATGTATATCTATGTATATCTATGTATATCTATGTATATCTATGTATATCTGTCTTTGTCCCCGTAATGCATATCAATCTATCTATATATCTATATCTCTCTCTCTCTCTCTACTCCTCTATCTACCAAAACACTGCATCCACATGATTCTGCAGATGGCTAATGGGACCCCTCCCAGAGTTTGTTGCCAGGAATCGTTCTGCAACTTCAGCGCGGTCTGCTCCAGCGCAGCTCCCCATGCCTGGAGCGGGAATTCCTTGGCAAAGCGCACATGGTTAAAAAAAAGGATGCCCAGCTGTCAATATGTGTCTCATTGTACTTTAGCAAAAAAAAAATATTAATATATAATCAATATGTGCGCCTGCTGGACTGTTTCTATGTTTGAATTCGTTTGAATGTTGCCTGAAGAACTAGCACTACCCATCACCTGCAGGCTACAAAATGGCTTGGCTGCCTAGAAAGCCTTGGTTTATGTTCAGGCTGGTCCAAAAAAAAGATATAAACTCACCAAATGTATCCAATTACATCTAAACTGTCACCGCGGGAACAGCAAACCCACAAGACTGCAATGCAGGATCCTTGAGTTTGCACAAAGACACGCCATTCTATAATGGTTCCCTCTCCCCAAACCATTTTGTAAAAGAAGCATCAGACATATTGAAAAGCCTTACTTGCGAAGGAATAGATTTGGAGGACAGGGCCGATTCCCTTATATATCTTTTATATTCTTTTATATTATTTTATATTATTTTATATTCTTTTATCATATACCCTGTCAATTCCGGATATAATCATCCAGGCTCTCTCCCTAGCCGATTCATCATCCTCTCTGCTGTTCGCGCCCTGCTCATTATTCTGGCCATTCGCATCCAGGCTTCCTCGGATGGCAAATTTGGTATGGCTTCACAAGCAGTCGCACAAAAAGAAAGCCTACACACATGGATGCAGATATTCGATTTATTAGTATGTTCTGGAATGTTCTGGTTGATATGCACCCATATGGTCACTGATGTATTTAGTCACCCTGTCTTGGTGGAGTCATGGCATTTTGTAAAGGCCCGTGCTTGCAATGGCAAGAGTGACGCTTTGACGCTAAACCCTTTGATATATATATATAAATATAAATAAAATATACATGTATATACATGTATATACATGTATATACATGTATATACATGTATATACATGTATAGGATTGTATGGCACAAATGCCTTGGCCCCAAGGCTCTGGGAACAATTGCCTCACCATCTTCCGGTGCTGCATTTTCCAAGGCTGGCACATCCTCAGCGGCAGGCTTGGCTTCATGTAAGATCACGCCTTTGCGGGTTTAGGGGCCTGTTGGTGCAACCCACGCAAAACACTGAAAATAATTGAAATTATCACAGCGTCCCCAATGCACTCCCTACAAAGTGGCCTGACTCTAGATTCTGGGTCCATTTTGTCTTCCCACGGCTCATCCACACATCGCTTCTAAGCCCTTGCATGCAGAACTGATTCATTCATCAGCCTGCTGCACACGCCCGAATCAGGCCTAGAAACATCTCACTGACTGTAGTTCATTGAATCTACAACATGAAAAGGAAAAGTTCCACACAGGAATGCATCTTGGCGCAACAATCCAGCAGTTGTGTCTGCACAAGCTGCCGCTACACCACTATTGGCCGTCCATTCCTGCGGTTCACACAGGCTTGGAGCCAGCATGTCACCATTGTAGCGCAAAATTTGCGCGGGTAAATCGCCGACTTCCACAGATCACGTCCTCCTTGCCATCCTCG